ATGTGTCAGATACATTGTAAAAAATTATTACATGGGTTTTGAAAAAGGAAACATGCAAGATGTGGGGAAATTAAAGGGAAGTGATTTCGTGAAGGCCTGGGAGCAGAGAAGGGGGAAGCACACGGAGGGGTGTATTTAACTAACTTTGTATTTTGCCACATTGTTTTCATTCATGGCTACGTCTGATAAATGAACATGATCGACATCACGAGTAAATACAACGCGATCTAGGGCCTACGAGAAAACCAGGGTGCTCGGCTCCCCTAAAGCTTCTACCCCTGGCATCTGCTTGGGGGAGGGAGGGTCAAATATTTTTTTCTTCTTAGTAAAATTATCTGCCAGAGAAATAATGAAGCATGAAAAAGTACTATTTAGAGTGTGCAGGTCCACGTATGTTTTAAAACTGCTGTTACTTTCTGGAAAACTTCCCTTCGTATAAATGTACACATATATATCTTTTAAATTTCGGTGGATTTTTAAAACTAATACTACAGGTCGAAAACAATCGCACCTATTCAGTTTCTCGTGTCATAAAGCGCGAGCACCCGTGCGCTTTCCTATGGGTCTGAATATGGGACCCTCAGAGTTAATTAGTAGGGACATTATGCATTTAACAGCTTGCTTATCTAACACAATCATTTTTCTTTAAAAAGGACGCTAAACAGAAGTCAGGGGCAGGTTGTTTTCCACAACTGCAGATCATGATAATAATCCTATATTTTGAATGTACAGTTCTCACATAAATTTCATTTTGTGAACACACTCGTGGTGAATACACGTTGCTGGGGCTTCCAAAGTGTGGCGTATCCCACTGATGGCTCCAACTTGCAAGTGGGCTCAGTTCTGTAATTGGAATGAAAGGAATTTTAACACTATTTAGACAAAGACTCAAATGCAGTGTAAAGGGAAAGCCAGATTTCCTTATATGATTTTTTTTTTTAATTTAAAGACTTATTTATAATAAGGGAATTTAGGCAGGATTTAGGATTTCTTTGCTAAAAAAGCATCTATTTGTGTTCACCACTCATATTACATTTCAAAGTTTTTAGTAACGGCTATTTCTAAAAATGTCTTTCACTAGGCGTTACCCTTCTCCTAAAGCCAGCCCCCAAAACTCCATTTTTGCCAGCACCTCTCTACTTTGCTTTCTAATGTTTGGGGCCAAAACCTGCTCATTATATTGAATTGCCTTTTAGAGTCCTACCAAAATGCTTAATTGTGGCACAACTGTATTTTTCTCCCAAGTTTCATCCCTCATGAGATAGTTGTAGTAACTCCATCCTGAATGTCACTCTTATTTTGAGAATGCGTTTGCCTAAATGTTTCATCTGATGCCGAGCTTTCTGCATAAGTGATATCTCCATTTGTGCTTCTTCATGGGGGAGACTATGCATCTCCTAGTTGGGATCAGAGGAAAAAAAAAAAAAAATCTCGGGAGCAGAGAATAGCTAACTTCAGGCACACGGAAGTAGGTTTACTATTTAGACTTTTGTTAAGCAAAATTAAGTGTGGCTTTAGGAGCCCTACGCAAACTGGCACAGGGCGGAAGGTCAAAATGTAGAGGGTATTTGCTGTCTTCAGGTTCTGCGGAAAAAGGGGAAGACAAAATGATAAACTGGCCAGAACTCATCAGCGCCAAGCACAACCTGTTTTCTTCAAAATAAGGCCACCGTTCAGAGTTGCAATATTATCTTTTTTTAAAAAAAAGAGAACAGAAAATAAAATAAAACAAAAGTCATCGTGTTTGGCTGTATTTTCCAAACAGTGTTGGCTTTGTCTGACATTCTATTAGTGTTCTAGGGGAAGCTGACGGGGAGTGGAAACTGCATGGATTTGTAACATTAGTTGCATGAATTTGTGTCATTTTAAAATAGGTCAATGCTGTTGGTGAAGGTAGCTCGAGACTTTCCAAATGATCTTTACCTTAGCCTCCACATGGCCTTTTTTGGGGTAAATACCAATAAATCAACACATGGCCTTTACTCCACCAAGGCATTATTTCTGGCTTGTATTTCAAGAACTAAGGTGATCGGAAACCATTTCCAGCTTGTCTAAGTGGAGAAGCCCTCCACTAAATATTCACAGTGAAATATGATTGAATAATACACTTTAAAACCCAGGTATGTACTTGGTGTTAGGTAAGTGAGGGGTGGGTGTTTCTTTTTCCTATTTAAGACAAGATGACCTTCAAAGTTAAAAAACAAACAACTTTGATTTGTCCAAAGTGTTGATGTCAAATCTCGTCAGGCCTTGCTAAGGAGAAATCATGGTGTATCGGGGAAGAAGGAAAAATAATCAATTTAAGCCAAAAGGCAAGAATTGTTTATCTTTACCATTAAATGCAGATGCAGCCAGGCCACCTCTGCCATGCGTTATTTGCCTGGCTTATTTCTCTGGAGATGGGCGTGCTGCTGGATCAGAAGCTCAGAGCAATGCTGAGAAGGCCCTGTTTCTGGGAGGGACGCTTGTCTGTTTTCACCAGAGGGCAATGATGGCTCAATTCATTTGAAAACTGAAAACTTTGGGGGGCAAAATTTTGAGAGGTCGTAATTTTCATTTATATTAAATATTGCTAATTATTAAAAGGGACTGGCCTCCCGCCTCACAAAACAGCCTGTGTTTCACCCTGAATTATTGCCTCCCTACGCTTCCGTTAACCCTTCCTCTGGAGGAAAGGATATATTTTACACTTCTAATGTGGTGTTGGGCCCAGTTAACCTGTACACTAAGAAACTGAGTACAGAATCAAAAAAAAAAAATGCAGTTTATTATTGTAGATTATTCTTTCTCTTGATATAACCAGAATTGAAAACGAAAGAAAAGCACATAAGAACATCACGCGTGGTTAGTTAGTAACTCAAGATATAAAACAATTTTGCACAGCAAAATATGTAAAAGAAAAGTAACTGACAAGATTTTTTTATATTTATTGTGGTAAGATTTACTTTTCATTTTTTTTTTTTAAAGACAGGATGTCAGTCCCTGAAAATAACATTTACTGATTATTGCCTTTAAAACTGTGGATTTTTTTTAAGTTACAGAAAATCCAGTTCTGCACCACAATACAACTGTAAAAATATCTGCATCGTCTTAAAACTGTGCAGTAATGCCATTTTTATAACTGCATAAATTTTATTAGCGTTCTAAACAGTTTTGCAAATTTTTTTTTTGTATTATATGCTTGCAGGTTATATCTTAGTGCAATTCAGTCCCAAATACTTTAATTTTGAAAAAAAAAGAACCATACATTTTGAATGTAAAATACCCCTACAGATATAAACGGGGGTGTCTCCCCTTTTAATACTTTGGTTTTCAATACAGTCAGTGGTATAGCAAAGACTACACATACCCAACTTATATTTAAGTTGCAAGCACATGCTGTATAAGCTACTTTTTTAAACAGTCCCCTTGCAAACTCTACCCCCCTTAACATCACAACAGTAAACAATTTAGTGCATCAATCTTTTAAAAAATCTACAGCTAAACAGACCTAACTCTTTCAAATTTATCTATAACATTCCTTTATCTGTAGCATACATTTTAACTGGGCTAACAGATTATAAAAACTAGAATTAAATTATATACTAGGAACCCATAGCATTCCACATTTGACAATGACCAAAAGCCAAAAGGAAAAAAAAAAAAACAATAAAAATAAAACAAACCAAAAAGAATGGGGCAGACTTCTTTTCTTGAAAAATCAATTTTAGACTGCTTTCGGCAACAGCACAATTTTAGTCCCCCAAGCGGGGTGTCATTCTCGTTAAAAAGAAAACATTAAGAGTTGTTTAACGTTTGCCGTGTCAAATTTTTAACCCATCCTGGCATCATTGACAAGGAATGCCTTCAGTGCATTTACAATGGGAGGCTGAAGTTCTGGGTAACTCAAAGCAGTTTTGGAGCAGATGCAAACTTTCATGGGAAGAAGGTTCTAGGGTTGTACTTTTTTGTTCTGAACTCAAAAAAGTCATGAGGAAATAAAACAAAAGTATGAATGCCATGCTATAAGTCTTCGAATGTCCATTTCCAAGCCAAAAGAAAAAAAAAGAAAAAAAAATAATTATACCATACATGTCCAGCATGCAGGCTTTTTTTTATTAATATAATGTCTCTTTTCCATAAAGTCTTTGAAACAGTTATAGTTCATTGTTGCTAAGACAAAGTAGCAAGCATAATAATGCATGAGATGAGAATGAGTTTTTTAATGGCAGACTAAACTCTCAGACTTGGCATCACAAGGCCAAAACTCACAAGTCACACCCAGAAGGTTGATGCAGGCTTGATTGTGGCAGGTTCATGTGGATTTTTTTTTCTCTATTTTAGCATAACAATGCTAAAAAACCCGATGGAACTCAGCACGCTGCAAGTCTCTAACATTTCACATTTGTTTTTCCTTTGCAAGCTCAATCTTACATGAAGAACTCAGAAGGAGGAAAAAAACTTAGCTTTTTTTTTTTTTTTTCTTTTATCTCAGAGGAGATGGGTGGAGAAGGAGTGAGGGTGGAGGTTGGGGAAAAAAAGGGTAACACAGCAAGCTCCAAAAAGTAAAATTAAAAAAAAAATCCAAACAAAATAAAACACACACACAGAAAATGAACACCAGCTCATGAACTGAAGAAGAAAAAAAAATTATATGAATGATGCAGGCTTCAAAGGTGAGCATGAAGAACTCTGCTGAGATCTTTGAACACTGTGCAAGTGTGGGGGGGGGGGGTTGTAAAAAAAACAAGCTAGCAAGTTATGGAGAATTTCAGATTGGCAATCCATGAGCCAGACATCCATTCCCTCCCCAATTTAAAAACAGCCACCACCACCACCAACTAGGAGCAGGGTGTGTGTGTGTGTGTGTGTGTGTGTAGGGGGCAATTGGGGGCGAACTCGGTAGGGAAGGGGGCCAGGTGGTGGCGAGTATGGCTCTGGATCTAGCAAGCCCACACCCGAGTCGGACCCCCACGGAGCACTTATCAAGGTGGCTAGCTGGGATCGCGTGTCAGACTCACATGAAAAACTCGGGAGAGGACGGGTTGTCGCTGCTGGAGCCGTTTTCTCGGAAGCCGCTGCTGACCAACTTCTCGTATTTCTCCTTGTACGCGTCCCTCTCGCGCACCAGCCTGGAGATCTCCTGCTTGAGGTGGTCGACCTGCTGCAGCAGCTGGTTCTTCTCGGACTCCAGGACGTGTCTCTGCTGCACCCTCTTGAAGCGGCAGGACTGGGCATAGCCGCGGTTTTTCAGGGTCCGCCTCTTCTGCTTCAGCCGGATCACCTCCTCCTTGCTGACCCCGCGCAGCTGCCGGTTCAGCTCGCGCACCGACATGGTCACCAGCTGCTCGTCGGAGAAGCGGTCGTCGAAGTGCAGGCCGCCGGCGGCGTGGTGCGGGTGCAGGGCGCCCCCCGCCCCCGCCGCGCCCCCGCCGCCTCCGCCGCCGCCGCCGCCGCCGCCGCCCCCGGCGCTGGCCGGGCCACCGCCGCCCGCGCCGCCCGCGCCACCGGCCGAGGCGGACGCGCTGCCCGCGGCTCCGGGCGCGCCGGCCGTCGGGTGGTGGTGGTGGCCGGCGGCGTGGTGGTGGTGGTGGTGGTGGTAGTGCGGGCCCGCGCCGCTCTGCGCCGCGGCCGCGGCGATCACGGCGGACACCACGGCGGCGGCGGGGCCCATCTCCTCTCCGCTGCCGCCCAGGGAGGCGCCGGCGCCGGCTCCGGCCGCCGAGGCCAGCTGCTGCGCCCCGCGCGCGTAGCCATCGAAGCCGCCCTGGAGCTGGTGGCTGTTGCTGATGAGCGCCTCGACCGCGTCCTCCGGGCTGAAGCCCAGCGCCTCGGGGTTCAGCTGCTGCGGGTAGCCGGTCATCCAGTAGTAGTCTTCCAGGTGCGCCTTCTGCTCGCTGCCCGAGCCCGGGCTGGGCGCCGAGAAGCTGGGGGAAGGGGGCACCGAGCTGCACGGCGTGCTCATGGGGGTGGAGGACAGCGAGCCCCCGGCGATGAGACGGCCGCACTGGCTGATGATGCGGTCGGTCTCCACCGGTTCCTTTTTCACTTCAAACTTCATCAGATCGAAGTCATTAACATATTCCATGGCCAGGGGACTGGTGGGCAGGTCGGAGTTGCTCATTGCCAGTTCTGATGCCATTCTCCTGCCGCCGCCGCCGCCGCCGCCGCTCCGCCAGATGGGCTGCAGGAGAGGGGCCAGCGGGCTGTGCTGGGTGGCCAGCGGGTGAGCCAGCTTGCCGGGCTGGGGCGCTTCTAGCTCGCGCGGCGGTGGCTGGCCCGAAACCTCCGAGCGCGCACACACCCCCCCGCCCTGCCCGCGCCCCCCGCGCCCGCCCTCCCTCCCCCCTGCTCACGCCAATGTGCTCGCTCGCTCGCCCCGGCCCCTCCTCGCCTGCTCGCCTCCGTGCGCGCCGAGCCGGCGGCTTCAGGCTCGGGAAGGTCCTCCGCGGGCTGCGGTGGCGGCGGCGGCGGCGAAGCCGGAGGAGCCCAGCCCGGTGCGCGGCGTCCCCCGCTCGCCGCTCCGCTGCGCGCTTTGCATAAGGAGGGCTCGCCTCGCCGGCCCGGGGCTGCAGGCGGGGCGCGCGCGGCGGCCGCTCGGGGCTGGAGGCGCGGCGGGCGGCTGTCCGGGCGGCGCGGGCCTTGGCACGGGGGAGTTAACACTTCATGCTTCTCGCCTCCTCTTCTGCCTGGCTCTTTTTATTTTTTTCTTTCCTCTCTCTCTCGCGCGCGCTCTCTCTCCCTCCGTGCAAAGTGCAAGACAGAGGTGCAGCCCGGCTGGAGGAGAGGGAGGGGGGAGTTTAGTTCTTTCTTGCCTTTTTTTTTTTTAAAGCAAAATAGCGAAGTCCTGGGGAAAAGCGAGGCAGAGAGCAGAAAGGGGGAGGCCGAGCCGACGAGCAGCCCGAGCTACAGCCCGAAGATGAAAAAAGATTTTAAAGCCTCTGATCCAGCAAGAAGAGTTTAAAGCAATTGCTGAGTTTTATACCACTTGTGACGTCAGGCCCAAAGGGGAAATTGACTGGTACTCGGGGCCAATGGGAGGCGGCGAGAGCGGCCGCGATTAGCATAATAGTATAGAAACAAGGAAACTTTTCGGAGCTGTCAATCAGGGCCCAATCAGCTGACTGTCAGCTGGGACAGGCAGGCTTAACCCTTCGCGCGCCGCAGCCTCCCCGGGAGGGAGCAAAGCCGGGCGCAAAGTTTGGTGCAAGAGGGGAAGGAGTTTTCCAGAGGGGCTGCGGGAACCCGGCAGGACCGGGAGGACGGTTTGCTTTACTTTGGAGCGCGAGAGAGGCCTGCTTTCTGGAGTCTCGGCTTGTCCGCCCCTCGCTCTGCGGGGACTGGCCTGACTCCCCCCTCCCCTGCCTGGCCCCCATCCCCAGGATTGTGAATTCTCCTGGCAGCTTTTCCTCCTCGCTGCACCCTCGGTCCCCAGGTGTCCGTCCTGGGGACCTTCCTTCCCTGAGCCTGGCTGTGCCGGGAGCTCAAACTTGGCTCCAACTCTTTGTCCCTCTCCGTGGTGCCTGCGCGCGAGGGTGCAGGGGTCCGGAGTGCGCGCAAGACGCCGCCCTGCCGCGCGTCTGCCTGGGTGGTTCGCAGTCCGCGGAGAGAGAGAGAGTCGGTTTTACCACCCTCTCTTAAAGGAGGTGGAATAAGTTGTTCAGGGGCCTTTACGCGCGGGGACTGGCTGCCCGCTGGCGTCGCGTGCCCTTGGGGGGAGCGAACGCCTACGCGAGTTAAGTCCGGGAAAGCTCAGAGTAGGGTGAGCCGGCTCAGCCCTCGGGCTTCCGACTCTGGCCCGAATTTGGCCTTTAGATTCATATTCATCTCTCTCTGTCTCTCACACACACACACACACACTCATACCCACGCTCACCCACCCCCTTATGAAATCTGACCCCTGTTTATCAGGGTCCCGCGCGCCCTTTGCACTTTTAGGTTTCACTTAATTATTTCAGACTTGATCGTGGCGAGGAACAAGGGGGAAAAACAACTCCCCGGCCTTCACCAGCTCCCTTCGAAGGGTTAAATTTTAAACCGCGGTTTCTTGGACCGGCCCGGAAACCCAGAGTGGGGGTGGGGTGGGGTGGGGGGGCTGCTTCTCCCCCTCCCGGTTGCAGATGCTAATAACTATTCAATTTTCTAGATCGATTCTTTTAAAACTTATGCAAAAAAGAAAAAGGAAAGAAAGAAAAAGAAGAGGAAAAAGAAAGAACCAACAACTCTGTTTCTAAGATTTTAAAGCGATAGGCAAGTCGGAGAAGCCGAGATTTATTCGGGAAAATCCAGAGCGCGCTAAACCAACCTGGCGTTGGGAAGACCAGCCCGCCTGCTTGGATGATGGGACTGTTGATTCCTTCAATTAATGAAATGCATTTGGTGTTAATCATATTTATTTTACTTTATGGGAGAGGGGGCCGCTAGCAGGGTGCATTAAAAAAAAATAAGATTCTAAAAAGCCTGCAAAAAGATCGAAGAGTGAAAACTATTGTTGGACCGAGTTGGTTTTTACCTCAACAGCGCCACCTTTCGGCAAAGGTCAGTTGAAATTGATCCGTGTCCAGTTTTGTTGGTGGAGTGAAAAGCAGCTGGTTTCCCAAGGTGGGAGGAGGAAAAAGGCGCAGAAAGTTAGTGTGACTGCAAGAGGAGAACCCGACTTTGTAGGAAAGGGACTGAAGAAAGTGCTGGTAGAGGGGGGGATCCATTTACCCCCACTGTCCCTCTTGGTTGTCCACAAAGAGACCAGGGGACACAGAAGCCTTTGGAGAATAATTCTGGCTGAGACACTTTTGCAAGTCGATCCCATCTACAGGGGCCCCAAACCCTTTAGAAGTGTCAGGATGGATTTTCAACGGGCTTTATGGCAATATCAATAGAATTAAAGTTACTAGTAATTCAGTGATAAATGAGATGTCTCTAGTAAGTAAGATTAAGGGCAGTGCTATAAAGTTGTTTATCTGAAAGGTAATTCTCAGGAAACCTGACTTCTGACACTTAGTCACATATTAAACCAGCATCTTGAACATTGCACTTCACAGTGCTCCCACCCACCGCCCCGTCCTTTACTATTTATGACGGGACCTTAGGTGTCACTCATTGACTTCACACACCAGGTTAGACTTGAGTTGGTTTCTCTGATGCTGGAAGCCTTCAGTTTCAGGAGACCCGGGAATCCCTAATGAGAGACTCCCCAAAACGTTTGTAGGCACATCACAACCCTAAAAGGCCAGCGCTGTTGGTATTTTCCAGAAAAGCACCTTTTCTTTTCATCATTACTGCAGAGAAGCTGTTTATAAGGGTAGTTTTGGTTTTATGGGAGTACTTTGTAGGCATGGAATGAAATATGTCTGTAACCAGTTTGGGGAAGAAAGAGTGAGGATTGTGTCAATATTTGTGCAACCTAACAGAATTCCTTTGCTTTGCTCCTTTTATACAGTATTTTACTTAGTAATGAAGTAAAGGGATTATAGCTTAGGTATTCAGAGGAAAATCCACTGTTTAAATTACATAAACATATTATGTCATTTAGCATTGTCCACAGCAATAGTTTTCTAGGCCTTTTTTTTTATCATTAACCACAAATGTCTGAAGTTTATATTTTTCATGTAAAAATATAAATTTTTGTATCTAGGAAGAATTAATTCCTTCTTTTGCTATGGTAATTTTTTTTATCCTTTTGCATCACATTTTTGTTAAAAGCTGTAAGATATGATGCCTGCCTCTCATGAAAGTATTTTTGGCCAGGAACACTGAAACTGCTACGTTTATAAATAAACAACATTTATAAACAAAGTTCTCTAATGACCAAGACCGTGATACATAGATTCATGGCCGTGTACCTAATTGTCGCAATTATATATCATTTCTAGAAATTGAATGCCCATGTTTGAGCAGCTAAATGTATTATTATCTGCACATTTTTTATGGTTTATTTTTGTACACTGCTATCAAGCCATGGTATTTTTCTTTCTGTTATTGCAAAGTCTTTTATACTCCCCCACTTTATCTTGAAAAAAGAGAGGATGAGAATTATTTTTTAGATGGGTAACGGTAGTGCTCTCAAGCTTATAACTTAATTCTCACTTTTCTCCTTTTTACTTTATTATTTAGTGATTCACAGGGGTGTCTAAACATTTACAGTTCTCTGTTAGCAGTGTTTCTTGTATAACAATTGAGCTCTCTCATTTTAATTAGTACTATTCAGATTTTTGATTCTCTGCAATTATAGCAGGCCACATTTCTTTAGACTTCTTTGCTAACATTGTTTGTTTCACTTCTATCCAGGCCAGTCTAATCCAAATACAATATGAACTGCGTTTCCTTACTGCTTAATATCCCCTTGCTATATATATGCCTGTAATCTCTGTAGAACAATATAGAGTAATTTAGAAACCATGCGTTTGTCATTATTGACCAATTCAAATCAGTAGCATTAAAGTTTCCGAAAGCAGTGAATATTTATAGAGGAATTGGTGGGGGGAGGGCATGGGGTGGATCATGCAGAAGACTGCGAAACTGTAACATCAAAAACACAGTTGTAGTTTCATGTCAGTTCATACATAACAACTTCATGCAAAAAGAAGAAAAGAAAAAAACCCTGTTCACGGCCAAATTACAATGATTAAAAGCTAAAAGTAGTATGTTTTTCCTCACTGTGAGTTACAGCAACTCAAGTATAGCATGTTGGAATCAGACATATACAATCTAAAAAGAATCCGATCCATCAAGTGTAGCGTCTAGATTCTCTGTTTACCCAGGAGCAGATTTTACGGCGCAAAACTAACCAGTGTCCACTGCGTTTCACCATGAAACCACCTACGTTGATTTGAGAGAAGGGTTGCTGGGAGGAAGCGAATGATAAGGGATATAGTGTTCTTAGGTCTAGTGTTAGATAAATCCTTTTAACAGTCTTTAGTTAGCAGGGTAAGTAAATCACCAATCGCTGTTAGCAGATTCATGGAAGAAAATTAATAGAATCAGACGAGATAATCTGATAAGGGGAAAATTGCTGAGGAAACAGTCTTGCCTCATATTGGAGAACGTGAAACAACAGTCTGATTACTAGGAGTCGTTATGAATAGGTGAATTATGTGCTAAATAATCATCAGAGTAATTCAGCATTTATTAATTCTTTTCTCTTTAAGCAATTCACAGTTGTAAGTTAAAGCCGCTCTCTCTTTGAAGACACATCTTTTATAATTTTTATTAGAGGTAATTTATTATTTGCATTACCTGTATTTACTTCATAATTGAACATTTTGCATTCAAATTTATGTAATGCATTATGCTTGAGAATATATTTCTGCCTGATTAGCATAAATAGTCACTTACCTCATGAATTACTAACAAAGTTTATCTTAAAATATAGGTTTTTTTATTAAGTGGAACACAAACATATGTACGATAAATTCTGATTTTCCGGTGCAGTTAGAGAACAACTCACGTTTGGTTTCTGGGAAGCTAGGCTGCAAGGGGGGGAGAGTAATCATGGGGAGGAAGAGAAATATAGACAAATGGGATTTGTAGGTTTCTTTCGGGGGTGTCGTTTAGATGGGGGGCTATGCCTGGGGTGGGTTAGGGACAGAAGTGCAGAGGAAGGGGCTGGGCTCCTCATCCACTGTTCAGATTGCTTGCTGAATGATCTCCACATGGAACGTGGATTTTGAAAAACCCCATAAATCATCATCTATACCTTTGTGAAGGACCAGGGTAGCAAGTGACCCTCACTGACAGACTTTGGGGTTTTGTTTATGTTTGTTTTGTTTGCTCATTTGTTTGTTTTGGGCAGAGTTCTACCTTAGAACACAATACACATCATTTAATAAAATACTTGTTTGTTTGGCACAAGAGATATGAAAAACCAGATGTTTTCTCAAGTGGGAATTCCTGGGAAGGTCTCCCAAAATTTGCTCCAGCTACCCTCCCTTTCTTCCCCCTACAAAGACACCCACCATGGCCTGGCAGGCAGGAGGTGATTATAAACAGTTTTGTGCATACGTGAACAGTTGAATGAAAGGACTTCTGGTTTTAAGCAATAGATGGAGATACAAAATGATGAGGCCTCATTCTCGGCTCTTGCCCTTGCAAATCAACAGATTCCCATGGTTTTCTTCTTTCCCTCTCTCCTTTTCCAGGGCATAGCCATTGCCTTAGATTTTTCTTGTCCTTCAATTAGGGACTGCTTAAGATTCACTCCTCCATTGTTATCCTTTTTGATCCTATTCACAGCTTATCCCAATGAGGGAATTTGTCTCGAAAGCATTCAACCCTTCAAAGATTTTTATTGTGCTGAAATCAGAACTGATAAAAAAAAAAAAAAAGGCAAGAATGAAAAAAGGATCTGTTATTGGGAAAAGAGTTTGTTCACGCTGTGTCTTTTATGCCTGATGACTTAGAGGACAGGCTGTTGGAGGGACTGGCTCTGTACAGTTTTGGTCACGGGCCTTCCTATCCACGGGGGTGGGGGAATTCTTAGGTCTTGTGCTAGAGGCATTTAGCAGCCATTCGACCTGGGGAATGGAGCCTGGAGTTCTAGAAAACACAAACCAAACTTAAATCCTTGTGTGATTACCAGGAGGAATCTAGTGATGCAGATCGTTTCTGGATTTGGGTGTTTCTGAATTTGCTTCGCTGGGGCCTGAGAGAAATGGTCCCTTATGGCCTTGTTTTGTATCTTAGTTCTTGGTTGCCTAATGGATTTTGCTCAGCTTTCCAACGTGCTGTTCTCTTCACTGAAAACACCAAACATCCCAGGGACACCCTCACAGCATCAGCCATCACCATAGTGTTCCTGATTGGCCAAAGAACAGAATTGGGCTAAACAGCCCACTCCCCCATATAAAGTCAAATTTACAGACTTTTCGCTAGTGTTTTTATTTGGTAATTTTGTAACCGTGGTGCATGGCTGTTTGTTAAATAGAAACATTTGTATAAGACAGAAATAGGAGGATGTCAAACAAAAGACCCACTGTTCCTCATCTCTGCCCCAACCCCCTTGCCCTGTCTCAGGTGTTACCATCTGCAGCAATGGGGTCCGCGTGTATACCTTTTACAGAATGGAATCCTAGCCTGCCCACAGCTCTTCAGCTTGTGCTCCCCGCAACACAGCCACCTTAACAATCCCAAAAAGCAGCTTGGGATACTCCTCTATTCTTGGGCAGAATTCACTTAATAGAATCTCAGGCTGGAGGGAGTTTAGACCTTAACACCCTCCTTCCAACCAAGGCATGATCAGAATCCGCTTTACAACGCCGACGTGAGGCGACAGCACGCAGGGACGCAGGGACGATTTTACTAGACACAGCAGACACTGTGCTTGGGGCCCAGGAGACTGTTAGAGGCCCAGGAAAGCATCTTTATTTCCTTTAAAATCAGAAGTAAAGAAATGAATGTAATCTAGCATAGATTATATGCATCGTGATACCAACACGGTCATAAAAAATATAATTAAATTGTTTATGGAAGAAGGAGTCCACAGAAATTAAAGTGCCTAGCACCCACAAAAGTCCAGGTGTGGTTCCCAACAGCACATACTTGATCACCTCCAGTGACAGGGTGCTCACTCCCTCTCAATTTTACCTTCCAGTCTGTTCATCGATCTTCCTATGGTTCTTGAGGTTGTCAGGAAAGCTTTTTGTGTATTTGTTTGTCTAGTACGAAGTCATGTCCCCTTCTTCTATACACGAGTCCTGATTTTATACACTCATAGGACCATATATAATGAGTCCTCACATCCCTAAGGGTCTCCGATGTGTAGAAGATAACCAATATGACACCCTCTCCTTGCCTTTCATTTTTCATCCTAAGTGCAGTCAGTGCCTGTAGCATTTCTACGTAAGCCTGAATTTTGCATGTCCCTGCCTCCTGATTGCTTACTCTCAGATGGGCCCACCTGGTCACTGACTCCTTCTGAGAATTCAAGTCCCAGAACTGAACCAGATCCCCAGGTGTGAGCCTCTCATTGCCGAGCGAGCACCACCCTCGGCCTCCTCCAGCCGCAGTCTGTCTGCTCCTAGTGCAGACCATAATTTCATGAGTCTCTCCGGCAGACGCAGAACACCGGTGACTCATCGTGCGTGCCCCAGGCCTTGTCTTCTCACATTCCCCCATCCTCAGTTTGTGTGCTTATGTTTTTAAACCCAAGCACAGAAATGTACAACAATCCCCAGTAGGCTTCGTCTCATTAGATTCAGCCTGTTCCCTGCTTGTCTAAATCTCTTTGGATCTAGAATATGCCATTGACTTGTTTTAATTTGCTTCCCAGCTTTGTGCCAGCTGCAGATGAAATGGATGTGCTTTTCGTAGGACTTCACTTCTCTGAAGCAGGTCCCTCATCTGGAACATCGGGGTATTGTCAGGATTAGAGATGGTGCCAAGTATCTTCTACCGTGCGAGTCCACAGAGGAGCTCCACAAATGGTGGGTGCCCTTCTACATTTCCTACTGTCCCCCTGAGTTGTTGATAATAACATGGGACAAAGCCCTGTGGCACCCCAGTGGAGACTGTCCCTCCCAACCCCCAGTCATCACACAAAATGATCCACTGGATTATTCAAGTCCCCTAGTAGACATTTTAAATTAAATGGGCCTACAGCATCACTTATCATCAGGGAAATGCAAATCAAAACCACAAGGAGATATCATCCCACACCTGTTAGGATGGCTGTTACCAAAAAGATAAAAGATAAGTGTTGGCAAGGATGTGGCAAAAAAGAAACCCTGATACACTGTTGGTGAGAATGTAGTTGGTACGGCCATTATGAAAAACAGTATAAAGTTTTCTCAAAAAATTAAAAATAGAACTAACACATGATCCAGAAATCCCACTTCTCCACATATATTCAAAGGAAATAAAATCACTATCTCAAGAGCTAGCTACACTCCCATGTTCATGGCAGCACTATTCACAATAGCCAGGATATGGAAACAACCCAAGGGTTCATCCATAGGGGAATGGATAAAGAAAATATGGTGTCTATATCTATATACAATGGAATATTATTCAGCCTTGAAAGAGAAGGAAATGCTGCCGTTTGTGACACCATGAAGGAAGCTGGAGGACACTATGCTGAGTGAAATAAGCCAGACATAGAAAGGCAGATACTGTATGATCTCGCTCACATGTGGAGTCTGAAAACATCTGGCTCCTAGAAGCGGAGAGTTAATAGTGGTTGTCAGGGCCTCGGGGAGGAGGAAATGGGGCGATGCCGACCGAAGGGTACAAAGTTTCAGTTATGCAGGATGAATAAGTTCTGGAGATCTTCCGTACTGCGTTTGACCATTATTACCAATACTTTATTACATATTTGTAATTTGCTAAAAGGGTAGATCTTAAGCATTCATACCACACACACACGCATGCACACACACAAAATAGTAACTATATGTATTGCTGGATATTCTAACTAGCTTGATTGTGATATCATTTCCAATGTATACATAGCAAAACAGTACGTTGTACACCTTAAATATGTACAATTTGTATTTGTCAATTATACCCCAATAAAGCTGAAAAAAAATCTAACTTGGCCTATTTGGTAATTGAGGTAATTTTAAACTAAATTGCCTCGTCTGGATGTCCTACACAAATCCTTCTAATCAATTCTAAAATAACTACGTTTTATGGATAGGCAGAGCTCTCTGTCGAAGAGGGAAAATTACTTAGACAATTATTTGTTTCACTTGCCCTGATCTGTATAAACCTTGGCCATGTCAAAATATATAGGAGTTGTTGGGGCCGGTCTGGTGGCACAGCGGTTAAGTGTGCACGTTCCACTTCGGCGGCCCGGGCTTCGCTGGTTCGGATCCCGGGTGCGGACATGGCACTGCTTGGTAAGCCATGCTGTGGTAGGCGTCCCACATATAAAGTAGAGGAAGATGGGCACGGATGTTAGCTCAGGGCCAGTCATCCTCAGCAAAAAGAGGAGGATTGGCAGCAGTTAGCTCAGGGCTAATCTTCCTCAAAAAAAAAAAAAAAATATATATATATATATATATATAGTAGTTGTCCAAAGTTAGGACCTTAGAGACTAATAAAAAATAGATGTAACCTAGAAAAACTAAGCAGGAGAGCTCTGTGTATGTATAAAAGCTTCTTTGAGATCCGTTCTTTCCCTGGGGTTTTTCTCTTGCATCCCCGACTTCCCTGCCCTTTCCTGACGCCAGTTTTGAAGCTGGGAGGCTCCGAGGTGATTTCCTGAACAGGAGAGTTCCGAATTGCCAGTGTCCACCTTTGAGCTGCAACTGGTTCCCCCTGGTGTCTCTTGAAAGGACCTGAATGTGCAGGCTTTTGCAGAATCTGCCCTTCATGGCTTCTCTTGCACCTCCTTTCAGAGAAACCTGGGAATGAGAGCAGGAAGGAGCCCCCGAGTTGTTTATGACCTGCCGTCTGTGGTCTGTGTCCTGCCTGAGAGAGCTTGGCACTGGCTGTTTCAGCTGACCCCGCAGGGATCATAAGGGCTCTGGAGGAATGACAGGGACTCTTCAGGCAAGCATCGCTGACTGTGGACTCCAGGCTCCCCGAAGAGCCACTGATCAGGGACGAGTGTTGGGGGCACTGGCAGATTCGCGTAGGGGGAAGGTGGGCTGGCCAGGAGACAGCCTGCTGATCACCCTCTGACCTCAGCAAAGCTCTTCCCTGTCTTTCTCCAGCTCATTTTTCAGACTGCAAATGGACCAGACTGCATGAACAGGTTAAAACATTTCTGGGTTGTGTGGAGGGAATGTCCTTAGCCCTTTGAGGTTGATTGCAGGGTAGGTAAACACAGGCCAGACACCTATAGACACAGACAGAGCTGACGTGCTGGGTTGTTGTAGAGCATGAATGGGTCATAACGGCAAAGTCAGAAAATCTTTGGGGTCAAAACAACAGAGCTAACGCGGTGGGGTCAGAATGGCAGGACCAAACTTTCCTGCGCGTTCAGGTCAAAGGATGATGCAGTTTTAGGTTAATAATGTCTAGAGCCTTTGGTGGCAGAGCAGTGAGGGGGTAAAGCATGGATTTCTGAGGGTCACTGGGCAAGGTGACATACTTGGGAGATGGTGTGCTTTGGCACCAGGCCAACAAGGATATGAATCCTGCTCTGTGCCAGATGTGAGACCTGAGCAAGTCAGTTGACCTCTCTGGGCCTCAGTTTCCCCCTGGGTCAAAGGTGGATCATGCTAAGCATATACATTGAGTGTGTGGCTCATGTCAGCCCATGCCTGGTAAGTGCTCAAAAGAACGCAATCTATTCGCGTGTGCTGAGCACTGTGCTGACATGCTAGACAGTTTCCGTTAGTGGGGCCTTGTAGGTGCCAGGGCCTCAGGAAATATTTTCCCTTCTTCTGTCTTTTATGCTCTTGCCTTAAAGTTGTAGTTACTTGCGAACTTTGCACAGTTCCTCTTTCTCTCCCTCTCTCCTGAGTCTTTGCACGATTTTACTCACCTGAAACTCCCCTCCTCTCCATCTTCTCTGCCCTCTGTCCTATACCCTGGATAGTTTTGACTTTTTTTTGAGTCTTGGGTTTCTCTTAAAAGCCTTTCTTGAGTCCTTGTGCCCACTAGCTCCCAAGGCAGGCCAGGTGTCCAGTCTCTGTGTCTTAGAGTCCTCATGGTGCCATGTTTGTTCCCCACCTATCCTGTGAGCATCATGAAGCCAGGACTGACCCCTTTCATCTCTCCATCTCCTTCACCTACCACGGTGTTTGGCACAGAGTGGGCACTCAATAAATGTTTAGTAAATGAAATCGACTAAACGAATGCTCTGATTCCTCACCTCTTTTTTTGACCCACATAGAGCCAGGCCTGGTGGTCTAGTGGTTAAGATTTAGCACTCTCACCTCCTCAGCCTGGGTTCATTTCCCGGTCAGGGAACCACACCGCCCATCTGTTGGTTGTCACACTGTGGTGGCTGCACATTGCTGTGATGCTGAAAGCTCTGCCACTGGTATTTCAAATACCAGCAGGATCACCCATGGTGGACAGGTTTCAGTGGAGCTTCTAGAATAGACAGACTAGGAAGAAGATCTGACCATGCACTTCCGAAAAAACTGGCCATGAAAACCCTGTGAATAGCAGTGGAGCATTGTCTGATACAGCATCAGAAGGTGAGTGGATGGTGCAGAAAGACTGGGCAGGGTTCCGCTCTGTGTGCACAGGGTCGCTAGGAGTCAGAATCGACTTGACGGCACTAAAAACAAAAAACCAGCATAGAATGTCCGGCCAAGTGTCTCAGGAAACATGGTTTTGATGAGGGCAAGGTGCTGGCTGCTACGTTGCAACATGACAGTTCTTACACTCTCCTCTCACTGGACTGATTGGCCCATCTGTCAATTACCAGGATGCTTATCTTGTTCCCTCATTAGCCTATGTCTTCCCGAGATGGAATTTGGTGGAAAACTAGGGTTGAGATGTGAGAGCCCTGGACCCGAGGTGGAAATCAATAAATCTTCCTGGGGTGAAAATTTGGATGAATGGAGGGATGTGATTACACACCTGGGTGCAGGCAAGGTGTGCTATCCGTATTCCAGCACTGGCTGCTGCTGCCAAAGACGGCCCTGCTCCAGCCTGGAGTCACAGTTGCCTCCCCAGGGCTTCAAGGCATGTGGACACTATTTTCTAATGTTCAAATAAGAATCCCAGCCCACCCCCATTTCCACATGCCCACATTTTTTTTTTAAGTATCCTTTTTGGTGAGGAAGATTGGCCCTGAGCTAACATCTATTGACAATCTTCCTCTTTTTTTCCCTCCTCAAAGCCCCAGTACATAGTTGTGTATCCTAGTTGTAGGTCATTCTAGTTCTTCTATGTGGGATGCTGCCACAGCATGGCTTGACAAGCAGTGCGTAGGTCCATGCCCAGGATCCAAACTGGCGAACCCCAGACCACCGAAGCAGAACGTGTGAACTTAACCACTCACCCGTGGCACATACCAACATATTGCTCATTCTTCAAGGCACAGCTCATGTGCAAGGTTGCACACGAGGCTTGGAGCACAGTGACTGACATCTAATAAGCGTGTAATAAAGGTTGGTTGTTAGTACAATGCCATTGCCTCCAGAAGCCTTCCCTGATTCCTGCCTTTCATTCATAGATTGCCATGGTTGTAGCTTCACCTTGCTTCTGGAAGCTTCTGTAGCATTGGAGAGCAGCATATTGTAGTGGTCAGGCAGTGCAGGGTTCAAGGTGGGGTTTAGCTACTTACTCGCTGTGTGGCTGCCAAGGAGTTCTCTATATGCTCTTTGAATCTTGATCTTCAGCATATAGCGGGGTCCCAATTAACTCTCTTTGAGTCGAAGGTGAAAAAATTTTGACTTAAATTGGCTTAAACAAAATAGAAACTTACTGGTTCATGTGACCAAAAGGTGCAGGAACAGAGCTGGTTTCAGGCCTGGCTGGAGGCAGGAGTCATGTGATGTCATTGGACCTGGCTTCCTTC